GGCCGACGCTCTATCCATTGAGCCAAACCGGTTTCGGCTTAACATCATTTTTTTAAGGATGCATTTTTTTAAAGGATGAACCTATACTGACACATGATCATCACCCAAAGTCCATCGTTTTCATTTATGTTACTCTTGTCATTGTACATTCTGTGGGTTTGAACAAATGTAGAATTGCATGTATCCACCATTACAGTATCATACAGGATAGTTTCACTGCTCTAAACTCCTCTGTGTGTGCGCTCCACTTATTCATCCCTCTCTCCTCCCTAATCGCTGGTATCCACTAATCTTTTTACTATCTCCCTGTTTTTCACCTGTTGTAGAATGTATTTTAGTGGAAATCATATAGAGTATGGAACTTCGTTTGTTTATTTTGTTAATCCAGAGGGAGGGAGGGAGGGAGGGAGGAGAGAGAGAGAGAGAGAGAGAGAGAGAGAGAGAGAGAGAGAGAGAGAGGAGAGAAAGAGTGTGAGAGGAGAGAGAGAGTGTGAGAAGAGAGAGAGGAGAGAGAGAGAGAGAGAGAGAGAGAGAGAGAGAGAGAGAGAGAGAGAGAAAGAGAAAAACCTAGATATGACATACACTGTATTGGTTGCCTCCTGAATGTGCCCTGACCAGGGCCAGGGGATCCAACCTGCAACCTAAGTGCATGCCCTTGACTGCTTCTGGGACCCCAGATGCTTGAGTGTGAGAGGCCAACACTCTAAACATACGGGCCAGGGCTGGAACCTTTTAAAATTGACTTCTGTCACTTACTAAACATGCACTTAAGGTTCCTCCATGTCTTTGCATTGCTTGATGGCTGTTTTCTTTTCTTTTTTTTTTTTTTTTAAGTGCTGAATAATAATTCATTGTCTGGATGGACCACAGTTCATTTATTGACCTACTGAAGGGCATCTTAGCTGCTTTCATGTTTTGGCGATTATGAATAAAGCTGTTATAAACCTCACTGTGCACGTTTTTTATTTCCAATTTTTAAAATCCTCACTCGAGGACATGCTGAGAGAGAGAAAGAGATTGGTTGATCTGTTGTCTTCTAGGGAGGAACCTGAAACTCCAGTATGTGCTCTGACCAAGAATCAAAATGGCAGCCTTTTGGTTCACAGGAGGACACTCACCCAACTGAGCCACTAGCTGGCCTCATGGACCAGGTTTTGAATTGGGTTTTCAATCTGCCGATTTTCATGTGGCACTACATGGATGCCTATATAGGTTCAAATTCATGTATGAGGAACAAACTTTAAAAAAAAATTCTTTATTGATTAAAGTATCACATATTTGTCCTCATCCCCCTATTCCCATCCCAAACCCCTCCCCACGTATGCCCCCCCCCCCCCCTGTTGTCCATGAGCACTGGTTATGCTTATATAACAAACATTTTTTAAAAGTTGCCCCTCTCCCTTGTCTTTGGATGGGTGGTGAAGTGAGGGGTTTTTTGTTTGTTTTTTTGGTCTTTTATTTGGTGTCTCACTGCATTCTCTTAGACATAGGATGGTTCATGGGAGCAAATGATGACCCTTTTTGTCTAATTAGCAACTCTGATTGCTCAGAGCCTGCCACAGCTTGTTCTTTCTCTGATTCTCTCACCGGAGAGGAGGTGGGTACTAGCATGGTTTAACTGTTTCCTGCTGGCACTGAATCATGGATATGGGGTTGCTTTTTGCTGTTGTTATGGCAGCAACAGGGAGCAGGAATGCGGGTTATGAATTGGTTAGTAGCGTGAACTGGGCAGAGATGGGTCATGGAGAAAAACCACTGCCACCATCCATTCTCTGCCTCTAGACCTAGCTACGTGCCTCCACCAGGCATTGCTTCCTGCACAAGGAGTTCCTTTTCTGCCAAATAGCTCAACTGTTCTAAGTGAGATGGGCTGGGTCACTGTGGTCTTCCCCTTCAGGACTCCACTCAGCACCCTGGAGTTAGGCGGAGTGCAACCCGAGTCCCCAGGAAACTTGTCCGTGTCAAACTGGCTGTGTTTCTTGACCTTAGATCTAGTTTCTTAACCACTCTAATCTCTAAACTTCCCTCTACTCTCTTTAATATTATCTAGCCTTAATAATGCTGTGGATTATAGAATCTTTCCTAGTACTTGGAATTGTCCTGTCTTTAAAAAAGTATTTTTCATATTAAGGATATGTTTACACTGTGTGCAGTCTTTTGAAGGAGTGAGTGGAGTGAGTTGCTGCCCACCAGCTTAGGGACCAGAAACTTAATAAAAAGCCCTAGAAGATGGTGACGATGGGACCATCAACAGAACTAGGGGAAGAGTTACAGGAATGTATAAACCATAAACTCTGAACCAGTACATTCAGTTGCAGTTGGGTTGTTTATTTTTATTTATTTATTTAAATCATCACCTGAGGATGTCTTACTGATTTTAGAGAGTGGGTAAGGGAGCGAGAGGGGTCGGGGTGCGGGGGGGGGGGGGGGGGGGGAGAGAGAACCACTGATGTATGAGAGAGGCAACCATTGGTTGTACCCTGCCCCTACCGGGTATCTGCCCATCACCTAGGTAAGTGCCCTGAGAGTGGAATGGAACTACCTATGTATGTACCCTGAGCTGGGAATGGAACCATCAACCTTTCCGTGCACAGGACTAAGCTCCTACCTACCAGGCCTGGGTTGTTGATAACAGTTTGGCAGTGAAGTAATTTTATCTCCCATAGGGTGTAACACTAATTTACTTGAGATTTGCAAGGGTGGCACCAATTCAAGCTGTCCTTCTTAAAGCATTAATTCAGCCTTGCCTCCCACTCATTCCCAGTTTGCACTTAGATGTCAGAAGTGGGAGGGGGGTTCCATGAACTTCCATTTGCCCGCTCTCCATCAGGTGCCGGAAGTCTTTGCTGGGGCAGCAATGGCCACCCAATGCCTTACTGATACACGGGCAGGGAAAGTGCGTGCGGGGCCGCACGGCGGCGAGTGCTAAAGCTTATGGTGGGAGTTCATATACTGCCTTGTACCCTCAGAGCCGGACCCTGGACAAACACGTTATTGGATCAGGAGATTAAAGAGGTACCTCCAAGTTTTGGACCCCTCACTGCCAAAGCTGAAACCCACCGCAGTTATTTGCAAATTTAGAGGGTGGAAGAATGCCGCCTCGTCTCCTGGCCCTGTTTGTAAGTGTGTGTGTACAAAATCCAGTGGGAATGTAGCAGGCATGCAGGTACACTGGTTCTTCCCGGGGAAGCAAGTGTGCAGGCATCCAGGGGCGCAGCGGCCCCCCTTCTTGATTCTGTGAAACCCCGGGCAGCAATCCTCCCCTCCGCATCCCCCCTCCCCCCCCCCCCCCCTTCCAGGATCGGGTGCTTTGCTTGTGAATGCTTTTCTCTTTGATCGGCGCACTTTTATTTCAAGAATGGAGTGGGACTCTCCCTAGGGCGTTATAGGGTGTCAAATATGGCTTTTGCTCCTATTGCAGAAAAACAGGCCCAATGCAATGAATGCACCGGGTTTCTGAACAGTTGCCCAGAACCGAAACCGACCATCAGCAAAGTCGTTGAAGGGAGAGCAGGGATTCCGAGGAGGGCGGGGCTCGAGCGGGGATGGAGGAGGGTGATGGAGGGCCCTCGCTCAGCGCCCGGGCCTGTGAGCAGGCTGGGGTGCAGGGGAGTTGGGAGGGAGGCCTGGGCGGGGCGGGGCAGGAACAGCTGTGCCGGCCGCGGCAGGAGAGCGGGCTCAGACCCAGCGGAGCCATGTGGGACGTGAGCGACGTGTGGCGGCGGCTTCTGCTCAGGCTGCCGGGCCGCAGTGAGGGTTTCTGGGAGCGCCGCCTCCTTCCTCCCGATCGCGTCCAGCCCAGCCCAGCCCCGGCAGGAGGTGCGCACCCAGGCGAGGCGGGCGGCGCTTCTGGGTTGATGCACCGCGCACCCCCCCCCCCCCCCGCCCCCCCATCGCCTTCGCCATCGCCATCTCTCCGGTGGCAACCCCCGGAATACGTATGGGGCTTAAAGTCAGATGGTCAGCTGTCGGTTGCAGAAGGATCCAGTTTAATTTGCTCTTCCACTAGGAGAGATAAAGGCATGTTGAAAATATTGTAAATGGTGACTGAGAGAACCAAGATATTTGGGTCCTGTCTCGGGGGCTTTACCCCCTCTCCTCCCACCCCCCACCCCCCTCATGCGCTGCCCGGGTTCCAGATCTTGGGAATGATTGTTGCGAGAGCAATGTTCAGGCCAAGCCAAGGTTTCTAAAAGATTTAGGAAAGTAGGGTGAGGACGAAGCACCGGGGTGGCGGGGATCCTGGTGAGACTCATTATCAGGGAGCATCTCTGGCGAGGAGTGACCCGAGAGCTGTGTCCCACAGGCGCACTCAGCATCTTCCCCTCAGGCTTTCCTCTCTCCAACCTTTAACATTAAGCGGATTCTTCAACTTGATTGTGCCTGACTCGGATTGCATGTTAAGAATGCAGAGTACTTACTGCCTGGCTCAGTGATTAGAGCGTGGGCCAGCACACCAAAGGTCGCGGGTTCGATTCCTGGCCAAGAGCAGGAACCCCAGCTGCAGTTCCATCCCCCGCCCTGGTTGGGGGAGGGGGGAGGAAGACAACCAATCGATGTGGTGTGTCTTACATTAATATTTTTCTCTGTCTCCCTCCCACTTTCTCTAAAACTCAATGGAAATAGTATCCTCGGGTGAGAATTAACTAAAAAAAAAATTTTTTTTTTTTAAGAATGCGGAGTATTAGAGTCTCACTCCCAGAGGCATTTTAACCAGCGTTCTTGGGAGATTCGGCTGCGCGGGTCTACAGACCAGCGGACAGTAGCGCTCCTTTCCTCCCAGCACAGTTGAGGTGATTATTCTGGGAAGCCGTGCCCGTTGTTTTTAGGGGATGGTAGGAGGAGGCTTAGGGAGTCTAGGACCTTCAGCCAAGGCTGAGTGTAGGGCATTATCTTGCAGCTGGTTGTCGTCGCACTACTGATGCCAGCCTGCAGGGGGCACCAGCAGGCTGCCTTTGGCTCGCTCGCGGCCCTTCCCCGCCCTTCCCCACCCGCTCCCCACGTGAAGGAGGGGCTGGAACCAGAAGAATGCGTTCCCGCCCCAAAGCTGACGTGTGCACCGATGCCGGCCGGGCTCTTAAAAGCCCCAGCGGAGCGCGGGGCATCCTAGCAGAGCTGGACCGGAGGCGAGCGGGAGGAGGCCGCGGAGGACTGGAGCTGGCTCCCTGGGACTGCGGCTGTCACAGCATCCCTGAGTGAGGGACTCACTGGGGGGCGAGCCAGGCCCCGCGGAAGTTGCGGGTGTATCCCCAGGCCCGCACCCCTTTCGGACCGCTCGAGGAGCCTCTCGCCCGGTGCAGGCGCCCATCACTAAGCACAAAGCACGTTTCCAAAAAACAGCGCAAAGGAGAGCGCCCGAGCCGCGCCCCTGAGCACAAACTCCCTCTTTCCCTTTGTTTCTGGGAGTCGACCAGCCGATCTCTTCCCCAGTCTTAAGTTATTCGCAAGAGGAGGGCCGCCGAGGTTAGGCTGTGAAGATGCCCCTGGAGCTGACTCAGAGCCGGGTGCAGAAGATCTGGATCCCGATCGACCACCGCCCCTCGCTGCCCAGAAGTGAGTACAGACACGTGCAGGGGCCCGGCGGCTGGGGAGCGGCGCGCCGCGCGGAGGGCACAGCCATTGTGCGGCGGGCGCCGGCGCGGAGCTTTTGTACCGACTCCTCGCCACCCACCAGCGCGTTCCTCCGGGGCCGGTGCCTCCCTCCACCGCAGTGTCTGCAGGCGGGGCGCCGGCCGCTCCTCCCCGGGGCGGGGACAGCGTGGCTCTGGCGCCCGCGCTGCACCTCCCCAGCCCGGCGAGCGCCTCCCCGGCCCGGTGTGTGCATCACCGGGCGGTTCCCCCGAGCGCAGAGGGAGCCGGGAACCGCGATCGCGCCGGGGTCCTGGCTCCGGAGAGCGCGGGGGGGGGCGGGAAGTGCAGGGCACATAGTGAGCCTTTGCTTTGGGACCTCTGAGAAGGTGCGCCCGCTGCTCCCCAGTCTTGGCCACGCTTCCCTGTGCCCGCTGGGCTGAGTCCGGCCTAGGGATGAGGCCGCTCGTACGCGAAGGGTCACCTCGGGTCTCCGTCTCTACCTCACCTCTCTCTAACCCTCTCTCTTCACATCTATTTCTTTTTGTTTTGCTTTTGTTTGTTTGCTTTTTGTTGTTCTTTACCTCTATTTAGGTCGCATCGCTTAGCCCCTCTATATTCTGTCTCCTTCCTGCATCTGTTTCTACTTTCTCTCAGTCCCCTTTTCCATACATTCCTGTCTCATCTTTATATCCCCTCCCCATAACTCTTCTTTTTTCTGTATATTTATCATCTTTATATTTGTCCTCTGTTTTCACCTCTCTCTCTTTCCCTCTGTACATATATCCGTCTCTTGTCTCTGCTCCCACCTCTAGCTCCTGTGCTGGGCCCACAAGAGAGCTTGCCCTGGAATCAAGCCATTGACTCCTGTTTGGGGGAGGCTCTGTGCATCCCGGACTGTACAGTTGGCAGCGTTTCGCGGGGGCGCGCGAATTGAACGCGCTGGACCGTGCTCGGAATTTGCTGGCAGTTCACCAACCTACCCCGTCTGTCGTTGGCCAGAAATGCTTTGGAAAGGTTTACCTTAGGTTCTATCCCTAGCTACGGGGAGTCATCTCTTAAAAGGGAGGGTAGTCAGTGGTTTGAAGGTAACACCGCTCCTCCAGGTAACCTTGCCCAGGAGCCCATCAGGTGGATTGGGTAGAACCCAATGGTGGTGTTCTGCCCCTAGGTTGGATTGCCTGAGGAAACATGGGATCCCAGGTGCAAACCCTAGGGATGGCTTCTTCTAGGCATCAGTGGTTGTTTAGGGGAGGTGGCCTGCTGACCTCTGCTGTCATGACAGCTCACACAGCTGTGGTGACAGGTCTGGTGTGAATCACTGCTCCCTGCCCCAGGAGGTGGGGAGAACTGGCCCTGTGGTGCTCCTTGGTCATATAGGAGATGGGGACCTGGTTAGGCATTCCAGACACTTGGGGCCCCTCCTCCATCAGCTTGTCGCCTTTGCTGGACCTGCAGGTTCTTGGGGCCACGGAAGCCTTATGGAGGACTGGGTTTATTTGCAAGGTAGCTGGGAGTTTGGCAGTTCTGCATCTTTTAGATACACTCTTTTTTTTTTTTTTTTTTTTTTTTTTTAAAGAATGCTTTATTGACTTTTAGAAGGAGAACAAGGGGGGGAGAGAAATATTGATGTGGGAGCCTCCTGTACATCCCCCAGGGAATTGAGCCTGACACCGGGGCAAGTGCCCTGACGGGGAGTTGAACTGGCATCCCTTCAGTGCATGGGGTGACACCCAACCATCTGAGCCCCAATGGCCAGGATTAGATATGCTCTTTTTTATTTTTATTTTTTAAGTTGAATTCAATGATGAGAGAGAATCATTGGTTGGCTGTCTCCTGCACTATTGGGAGTTGAGCCCATAACCCAGGCATGTGCCCTTAACCAGAATCAAACCTGGGACCCCTCAGTCCTTAGGCCGATGCTTTATCCACTGAGGCAAACCAGCTAGGGCTAGATATTCTCTTAATAGTTTATAAACTACTGACCACAGTCTGCTTGTATTTCTATAAAACCTATTGGTGGTGAGGAATGAGTACCTCAAATGGTGAGGGAGATTCGGCTACAGCAAGACGCAGAAACAATTCAACCCTTTGTGACTTGGAATAAAGTGTATTTGTGGAGCACTTTGTAAACTGTAGTTGGTCATATGAATAAATGTTCTCTCTCTCTATGTAAATGCATGCATTTGTGTGTGTGTGTACGTACACACATGCACCTTTAGTAGTTCCTTGAGGTTCATGGTGGTGGGCTGAGGTCTGGGAGGAATGACCCTGAGTCTGCATGTAGAGGGCACAGATTGACTGCGTTTGCCCAGTCCTGTGATTATGAGAGACACTAACGTGCAGTGATGCTTCCTTCCTCGCGGCATCAGAGACCCATCCATTAGACTCTGTCAGTCTGCACGTCTCACACGCCGATGAGAGGCTTGCCTAAAAATCCCTGTCAGAACCTTTCAGAGCTTGGGGGTGGGGCGGGGGATGCTAAAGCGGATGGATTAATTCCCTTTCCCCGCCTACGTCTGGAATTCTGCATGTGGTTCTCACACGCAGTGTAGTCTTAGATGTGTTCTTATAAAAATAACTGCAGCCTAAATAGTTATTACATGCCCTTATTTCAATAAGCGGTGTCTTTCTTGGTTCCTATAGCCACATTTGTCTTTCATCAGAATAGAGAAAACAGGGTTTGTTTTTCTTGGCATCTTTCTATGTGGTGTCGTAATTGGGGGTCTGCAGCAGGTTCCTCTGAGGGCATGGGGAACATTTCTAGTCATGTGCAAAGAGCAATGAAACATCAGGAAACCCCAGAGTGATTATTTTGGTATTTCTTCCTCTGAAGCACATCCATTGGATGCCTTGTTAGAATACCCACATGGTGGTGATTGCTTCTTACAAAGCCTGCAGCTTCCTTCACATGCAAACCATAGCTTGGGGAGACTTAACTGACTTGGTAAATCAGCTTCGTTGACAAGGACTGGCAAGGGCTGCATATCCTTTGTTTATTATCAGCAAAAGTGGAGAGCCTCTGCATGGGAGTCCCTGCTTATTTACCCACTCAGAATCTTAGTCTTCTCGGCCCTGGCTATATAGCTCAGTTGGTTAGAGCATCCTCCCCATATGCCAAGGGTTTGGGTTTGAGCTCTGGTCAGGGCACATCCAAGAAGCAACCAATGAATGCATAAGCAAGTGGAACAACCAATCAACACTTCTCTCAAATCAATTTTTAAAAAAAAGCCTCAGCTTTCCCATCTGTAAAGTAGGTTGCATACTGTGTACTGATAGAAGAGTTTTCATCTCAGCAGGGCCTAAAAGCCACTGATGGCATTCAAATTTAAAGAAGGAAGGTGGGGCGTATTTCAGAGGAATTCCTACCTATACTGTTGATGCTTGGCTCTGGCTACACATTAGAGTCATTTGTAGCAGAATCCATAGGATACTTTAAATCAAGCCAGAATTGCCACAGGCAATAAATGTATTTTTATTGATTTCAGAGAGGAAGGGAGAAGAGATAGAAACATCAATGATGAGAAAGAATCATTGATTGGCTGCCTCCTGCACACCCCCACTGAGGATGGAGCCTGCAACCTGGGCATGTGCCCTGACAGGGAATTGGACTGTGATCTTCTGGTTCATAGGTCAGCGCTCAACCACTGAGCCACGCAGGCTGGGCTGCATCCTGTTTTTTTTAAGAGTGCTGTAGGTTCAGCCACTGGTGGAGAACCACTAGTTTAGGAAAGAGCACTTAAAGAATTTCAGGTGAGAGAGACTCCAGTGAGCCCCAATCATGTCTCTCAGTACTTGTTTGGTGGGCCCTCGCCTCACTTGTGGGTCTTTGTTTACCCCTCTGGGGTGAGGAAAGCTATAAAGGCTGATGCTGACATAGGCAGCTGAAGAAAGCATTTCCCATGCATGACATTGTAGTGAATCCTCCCAAGAAACTTTATGAAGCATCCCTCCATTTCACTTAGAAAATGAAACTAAGACTGTGAGAGATCAAGGAACTTGTTCAAAGTTCAAAGAAGCTGTGGGAACTGGCTCTGAACTCTATTTGACTCCAGGCCCTGCCCTCTGAGCCACTATGCTATTGTATTGCCTCCCAAGGTTGTCAAATGATTCACTAAAACTGCCCTGTCCCTCAGTGTCCTTGGCAGAGATCATGAAGGGCTGGGAGGGCCATTCATTGGACAAAGATTAGTTAGGCATGTGTTGAAATGTGCATGCAAAATAGTGAGTATGGTATTCATCAAATAGTACAGAATAGCTTTTGGAAAAGGGTTGGTTCAGCTGGATTCTCCCCCTACCCCACACCCACCCCTCCAAAAGCCTCAGGCACACGCTCCTGGGGCAACTCACTTAGTGTTATTTATTTAAAATATATTTTATTGACTTTTTTACAGAGAGGAAGGGAGAGGAATAGAGAGTTAGAAACATGGATGAAAAACATCAATCAGCTGCCTCCTGCACACCCCCTACTGGGGATGTGCCTGTAACTAGGGTACATGCCCTTGACCGGAATCAAACCTGGGACCTTTTAGTCCACAGGCTGACACTCTATCCACTGAGCCAAACCTGTTAGAGCTAGATGTTGGTTTTAAACATCAACTAAAGCAGACTCTTTGAGCTAATGTGATGCCTGAGAGCGATTATGTCTAGTTGACAATAGTTACGTGTTTGCTATTATTTTCTGAGCCTGCATTTCATTCTCCAAGGGCCAAGTGCATGCAGCTGTTTCGCCAGAGAGCCCTTCCTTGGTGATGGTGTAACTGCAGGGTCACAGCAGGTCTTTCTTACAGAGTTTGGTGTGCCCTTGCCTGGTGGGAGTAGGTTTCAGTGGTTACTGTGAACCCACAATGATCAAAATTCCATCAGGCAGTGCTGGGGACTGACCCCATCTGCATGTGTCTATCTTTTCTTTTGTTCATCCTCACCCAAGGATATTCTTTCCACTGATTTTTAGAGAAAGTGGAAAGGAGGAAAGGGGGAGGGGGAGAGAGAGGTGAGACAGACACATCAATTGGTTGCCTTCTGCACGCGTCCCAACCTGTGCTTGGGATCCAACCCACAACCCTTTGGTGCAGAGGTTTTGGCGTGGCGCACGCCGATGCTCTAACTCCATGGTGGGCAAACTGCGGCTTGAGGGCCATATGCGCTCTTTGGCTCCTTGCGTGTGGCTCTTCCACAAAATACCACGGCCTAGGTGAGACTATTTTAAAGAATTGGTGTTAGAAGAAGTTTAAGTTTAAAAATTTTGGCTCTCGCCGAAGCTGGTTTGGCTCAGTGGTAGAGCATCGGTCTGCGGACTGAAAGGTCCCAGGTTCGATTCCGGTCAGGAGCATGTACGTTGGTTGTGGGCACATCCCCGGTAGGAGGTATGCAAGAGACAGCTGGTCGATGTTTCTCTCTCATCAATGTTTCTAGCTCTCTATCTTTCTCCCTTCCTCTCTGTAAAAAATCAATAAAATATAAAAATTTTGGCTCTCAAAAGGAATTTCAATCGTTCTACTGTTGATATTTGGCTCTGTCGACTAATGAATTTGCCGACCACTTCTCTAACCACTGAGCAATGCTTGTCAGAGCTACACGCAAACAGTCCCTTCTAATGGTTCTCCTTGGGCTTGTCATTGAAGCAATAACTTACCCATTTGTAGAAGTGAACACAAATGACTTGGGTATTTTTGAGGTTAGCATTTTGGAGGGTTTCTGGGTAGAAGACTCGTAGGAGGGATGGGAGCGATAGCAAAATGTCTTCCAGTGGTTGATTTTATATTCTGAGCATGAGTTGTAGTTATAAGTATAGTGAGTGAGGACAGCTGTCAAGTATCTGCTTATGTCAGCGGGTTATATATTATCAGAGAAGTTAATAGAGAGTATGTTAGCATATAATCAGATTAACCTGGGTTGTAGGGCTGGTATTGGAATTGCAGCCTCTGTCCTTCTGGCTGACCATTTTCAGGATTGGCTATTCGGGTCTGTACATGAGAGGGTTGTGGTATATGGACCTGAGCAGGGCATATGTCCCAGTTGTGGGTTTGTTCCCCAGTTGGGGCATGTATGGAGCAACACATTGATGTTTCTCTCTCTTTCTCCCTCTCTCAAAAAAAAATCAGTAAAAACATATTCTCTGGTGAGCATTAAATAAAATATTACAAAGTAAGAAGTAGGGATGGATTATGGAAATTAAGACCCCAAGGGTTAGTCAAAAGCTTTTGTGGTTTTCCTGTTCTATTGGAGACCCTGGAGCACTTGGGCCCAGGGACAGCTGTGACCACCTTTGGCGTCCCCCTTCCAGCTCCTTGAGCCTTACACAACAAGCCAAAGGAATAGGAAGAACACTTGCCGCTTTGCCAAACAAAGGACTGATGGTTTATTTAGACTTGAGATTTAACCTGATTTTTTACCTTAGGATATTTACTCTGCCGTGTCTTTTTGCTTTTTCTTGCCAAAGCATCTACTGCCAGAGGGGATTTGGAGTTCATTCATATGATTAGTGGGTAGTAGAACTAATCCCCAATTTGATAAATCAGTCAATATGTCTCCACTTCCTTGGCATGAGTCCAACAAAAGTATTTCATAAATGTGCATAGAGATTGTGTGTGTGTGTGTGTGTGTGTGTGTGTGTGTGTGTGTGTCCATCTATCTCATGTTTGGATGCTATTGGGAGCAGAAGCTTTGTGAGGGCATCAGATAAGATCAGGGAAAAACCAATGGCTTGGGGGGGATGATTAGTACAATAAGTATTGTTTTGGGGCCCAAGTGAGAACGCTTTCCTCATGTATCACCTACAGCTGCCACAATGCACATGGTAGGGTGTGTCTTATGGTCCCGTTGGTTTTGGGGAGCCTGTCATCTTTCTCTGTTGTCCCTCGGGATACAAGAAAGCCCTTTGGTGCTTCTTTCCTCTATTCATGTGCTCACGCTGGGCAGGGAAATTTCTAGGCACTTGCTTGGTCATGGCCACTGGGATCTGAGGAATCTTGGCCTGAGCTTTTGTGGCTCCTGAATGTGTTCTGGCCTCCTGATGGCCTTCCTCCTCCTCCTCACTCTGCATGGAGGTCACTGATGGTCAAAACCATTAAAGAAACAGCCCCTGTGCAGTGTGCTTGCTTCCTCCTTGCCCCTAGCCTATAGGTCCAGGGCATAGATCCTAGACCTGTAGTGGGCATTTGGACATCTGACCTCAGTTTGGTCACCAGGCTGAGTGTGGGCATGTGTGGGGGCACATCCAGCTTAAGAGGAAGCGTTCTTCCTTTAAGCCTGTGCTTGTCAGTGGCCTGGTAGCTTTCTCTCCTCTCCCCCATCTGGCACTCGCCTATTAGAAGCAGAGCCCCTGTCTAAATCTGACCATGGCCTAGATTTGGGGTGCAACCTAAATACCTTTGCCTGCACCCTTGTAGCTGGTGCCTGGGAAGCAGTGCTGCATGGCTGCTGAGGAGAGCTGGGCTGACTGTGGCAGCCAGTGAGCTCCGGGCAGCGCTGCTGGGCTGGGAGTGGGCAGATGGCCAGTCTTGCTCCCAGTGGGCAGCCCCTGGCTCACGTGTACTTGTCACCAGGATACTGGAGTTGCCTGAGAGTCTCAGGGGCAAGACGCCAGCCAAGGAAATACTGTGCGTGAAATGTTTAGACTAGGGCTCTATGGGCTGCCCTTTTCTTTTTGGCTGCTTTCTTAAAACACAGTGAAAAACCTCTCTCCCTGGTGTTTTGTCTTATTGAGATTCTGAGGAACATGGGACAGTAGTTAAGCAGCGAAGCCAAGAGGAGATTCACAGGCAAGACCTTCTGGGTTACCTGGGACTCTGCCAAGGCTCTGTGACCTGGAGCATCTGGGACTCTGTTGCCTGCATTTCCTTTTTATTTTTATTTATTGATTTCAGAGAGGGGGAGAGAGAAAGAGAAAGAGAAAAACATCAATTTCTTGTTCCATTGTTTATGCATTCATTGGTTGTTGATTCTAGTTTGCGCCCTGACCTGAGATCGAACACCAAACCTTAGCATATGAGGATGATGCTCTAACCAACTGACTTACCCGGCCAGGGCTTGACCTGCCATTTCTTAAGCAGAGCACTGGCTTCAGTCAGAACTTGGCAGAAAAGGGCAGGAGAGTCTCAAGGACAGAGGAATTTATCTGTCACCCTTGATGGGGGTGGGACTGCATTCTGGGTCCCTGACATACTTTCAGTTGATAAACTCTTACTTGTCTTCTTTAAAAACAGTTTTAAGGAAGGTCATCCAGACCTACTGTGTGGAGGTTGGGAAACTGATGATTGGCCTCTCTGTATTTCAACTGTAGTAGCCCCACTCCTACCTGCCACCTCAATTTACATATTGCATTTGGAACCTGTTGACCTCATGCTAATTGGTGTTGGGGGTGTGGAGTGCCTTCTACTCTGGGGTTAGTAACCGGCTTCCCAGCTGGCTTTAGGGCTCTGGTATCAGGCTGGGAATTGAGATTCCTGTCATTCATCACCTGAAAACAAGATGGACTACAAGGTGTGACTAAAGGGCTCTGGCCACTAGGGAGCGCTAGCCCCACTGGATTGTATAATGCCCAGGGCTTTCAGGTGGGAATGAAATAGGGATTTCTGTGCAATTTTTAAGTTTACTGTGGGGCACAGGACTTGGCCCATCCTTGAGCACTGCTTCATCCATGGCACTTTTCTTTATTTCTCTTTCCAGCCTGTGGGCCAAAGCTGACCAACTCCCCAACAGTGATTGTCATGGTTGGCCTTCCAGCCCGGGGTAAGACCTACATATCCAAGAAGCTGACTCGCTACCTCAACTGGATTGGTGTCCCCACGAAAGGTGAGGCCATGTCCCAAGGCTGAGAGCCACACTGCGTGTTGTAAATCCTGCTCACCAAGCCCCCCACTGCCCCATCTCCAGCTGTTGGGGCTCACCACATAGGGACTATCTTGTCTTGATCTCTCTCTATATTTTGGGGACTTTTTGTGGCTGTGTCCCACCATGCTGTTTACACTCCCTTACCTTGTGTTGAGATCTTTTCTAACTGGCCGCTCTGTTAGTCCCTCTGCCCTGAATCCTGCCCAGCTCAGCCCATGCCTCCAAGAAAGAAGCCTCCTCTAGCCCCGAAGTCTGTGCTGAGCTTTTTCCTTTAAATTCTTCCCATGGCACTCAGTTGTGATGCTCATCACTGACGGTCACTATATTGTGATGAATCTCTGCCTAGTTTCTCATCTGTATGGGAAATGTCTTAAGAACAGGGACTAACTTTTGCAGTTGCTATTCCCCGCTGGGCCCAGCACAGCGCCTCTGATAGTAAGTGCCCAGTAAATACTCAGTGCTTCCTGTGGGTGCAGGCTGCCCCGTTTGCAGAAGAGTGGCTGATTTGGACTTGGCTGTGGTGCGCAAGCCTGCTGTCTCCTGGGCACCATCGGCAGAAAGCATTGTCTGTTTTCGTTAGATGTATGGCTGCCACCTATTCTCAGTCTCAGCCTCCAGCCCCTGACCTCTTGAGGCTGGAAGGGGCTGGGCTGTAGGTGACAACCTGTGGAAAAGCAGGAGATTCTGAGCCGTGTTTGGTCTGGGGGAAGCTGGGCTGCCTTCTATTCTAGGTCAGTGATTGCACTGGACAAGGCAGTTCACCTGGTTTCCACATCTTACCGGGATCTTATTCAAGTTGGCGTGTGTGTGTGTGTGTGTGTGTGTGTGTATGTGTGTGTGTGCGCACGCGCGCTTGGCTTCCCTTTTTGGAGAGTGTTCCTAGCTGTGTGAGTGGCCCTTTTTCCTGGGGGCCAGCTGAGTGACTCCTCCGTTCCCTCTGCAGTGTTCAACGTTGGAGAGTACCGCCGGGAGGCTGTGAAGCATTATAGCTCCTATAACTTCTTCCGCCCTGACAACGAGGAGGCCATGAGAGTCCGGAAGTAAGGCCCGAGCTGCTGAGCTGCCGCAGGAGGTTTTGGGGTTTGGTTTGCTTTGCTTTTGAAAGCCAGGCTTGTTAAGAGAAAGAGGAAGCTGGCCTGCAGTGTGGCTCTCTGTAGGTGACCATCAGATCTGGCCCCACCTCCATGTGTATTAAGAGAAATTTCCTGGCCGCTCTGAGGCTTGCTGTTTTTATCTGCTCCGGATGCTCTAATCCAGCTCAACAACAATGTTTCATTATGAAGAATGAACAAAATCATTTTCATGGAAAACCAGCTGTGTCTACATTTACTGAAAAGGGTGGTGGTGTTTTGTTTGTTTTGTTTTTTAAGCCCAAGGTGCTCATGAAACCCAAGTGCAATGGTGTTCCACCCTGGCTACACTTTAGAATCACCAGGGAGCTTGGAACAATCCCATTGCCAGGCCTACCTACCCCAGACCAGTTTGGTGAGGATCTATGGGCCAGACTTGGGCATAGGTTTCTTTTCTTTTTAAAAAAATATATATTTTGTTGATTTTTTACAGAAAGGAGGGAGAGGGATAGAGAGCTAGAAACATCGATGAGAGAGAAACATCGATCAGCTGCCTCCTACACATCCCCCACTGGGGATGTGCCCGCAACCAAGGTACATGCCCTTGATTGGAATTGAACCTGGGATCTTTCAGTCCGCAGGCTGACGCTCTATCCACTGAGCCAAACTGTTGTCGGCTGGGCATAGGTTTCTTAAAAGCTCCCGGGGGGTTTCATTTGTGCAGCCAGCATGAGCGCCATTCCAGACGGTCACTGCAGCCCTCTGTGCAGCTCTGGTGGGGAGCCTCTAGGCCTGCGGGGTGTGCAACTGGCAGCCCTGGCCAGCCTGGCCAGTTCAGCAGTAGGACCTCCAGTCACTGCTCAGATGGGCAGGCTCTGATGCATGTTCTCCTCTTTTTGTTGCAGGCAGTGTGCCCTCGCTGCCTTGAGAGACGTCAAAAGTTACCTGACGAAGGAAGGGGGCCAAATTTCAGTGAGTCGGGAGTGTGCTGGCTCTATCTCCAGTCCTGAATGGGATGGTGCCCTGGAGAGGGTGAAATGTAGACACAGCCCAGCCATTGCCAAGAGCCATTGTGGGGACACCTCCAGTAGCGACGACTGCCTCTGTCCTGAGAGCTGAGGGAAGCAGGTGGCTAGAGTAGCACAGGGACCCAGGAAGGTGGGTAGCGGGCAGAGTCAGGCACAGCCAGCTGGTGTGCTCTGCTCACCTCTCCTCTGTGTGCACTCGGCACCACCCTCCAAGGCAGGCTGGACCTGGAGTGGCTGCAGCCACGGAGCCAGGGTCTCTTCCTTATGCACCTTCCCTGCAGGTTACTGTTACTCGTTTGCTTTAAGGATTGTGCCCTCCCCTCCTCTTCCATCCAACACCCCCCCCCCCCCCCCCCCCCCGAGCTGGAGTTTGTGGGAGAGGGCAGAGAGCGGAGGGCTGTGGGGCAGGGGGCAGTCTCTCTGGGAATCACATTTTTTGGCTTCTACCTAGAAGTGACAGGCCTGATGATCTCCTTGGTGACTTGGTAAATGCTGTTCAAACTCAAACTTGGGTTCTCTTCACTATCCTTATTCTCTACCAGGTTTTCGATGCCACCAACACCACTAGAGAGAGGAGACACATGATCCTTAATTTTGCCAAAGAGAATGATTTCAAGGTGAGTCAGACGTCTTGTCTTGCCCTGGAGTGCTCAGGAGAGAGGAGAACCCAGAGGAGTCAGCTGATTTATACTTGGTCCTTCAGCTCCTGCTGCCCTGGCTTTGCCACATGTATTGATAGATAGGGCCTACCAGGTGCTGGCTTCTAGGGTTACTATGAAAGGTGGAGGGTGGGGAGGCATCTCTCCATTGGGCAAGGACTTGAGATTGAATAAGTGGTTCCTTTTTTTATGTTTTGAAGATTTCTGAGTGGTGTCATTCCTCCTCTCATATTGTGATGGCATCACAGTGATATCAAAGTGGGCCCTTTGCGTTACCATATTTATTGCTTCCTGGCGTTTCTGCCTCTCTTCTTCCCAGGTGTTTTTCATCGAGTCGGTGTGCGATGACCCTACAGTTGTGGCCTCCAACATTAGGGTAAGACCACGCAGGACCCCCGCTCTGTGGCGGAGTCTGAGAAAAGCAGGGAACCAGGTCAGGCCCAGAGCAGTATCTAGACCCTGAGAACAAGCTGCCTCTCTCAGCTTGTTGTTGATATTGTCTGGGAGGTGGGATCCAGGGAGGTCAGACATGTGGAGTGTTATTTAATTTAGAAGCATGTTCTGCAATCTGGCCTGGCTTTATCCAGGGCCCTTTCAGAAAGTCTGCAAAAAGCATTCATTGTTGTACTTGGGAGGTAAGGCAGCGTCTGGGAACAGTTTCTGGGGGAGGCAGTAGCGCGGCGGCTGGGTGGTGATGGGGTTGCTTGGGGCAAGAAGCAGCTCAGCCCTCCAGGCAGGTAAGTACTTGGTTGTGGATTGACAATGGCCGGAGGACTCAGTGGACTAAAGGCAGAATTCCCAGTTTGGTAAGCAAGTAACAAATTCTCTTCCTTCTGGTGAATCTACATATCCTCCTCCCTGTGCCAAGAGAAGGTTGCCCACATAACTGAGGGTAATGGGCAGCTTAATTTGATTCATTCTGGAATTGTATCACTTGATAACAGTATATGGTAAATACAAACAGTTACTGTGGAGACTTTACCACAAGTTACCTTCTAGATAACTTTCTGTCTGTTGCTACATATAAGTGTGCATCTTTGAAGGGCTGCTGAATGCTCATGAGCTTCTGGTACTGGGCCTGTTCTCCAAGGCAGTGGGAATATTTACACGCATTTCTAAGAAGTGAGTTCATAGTTCAGGAAGGGCTATTCACATTGTGGAAAATCAGCCCAGAGTGGTTCCAGCGGAAGAGGCTCAAAGGACGAGGAAACAGAAGTTGTTGTAATCTAAACAAAGGGTTTCGCTGTGTTTCTTTGGTTGGGTCCTACCAGCTCCACTTGGTAGTGAAGGACAGAGTCTCTGCAAAGTCTCGCTTCCCCGGTGAGCAGCTGTCACCACATGTTCGGCCAGGACTCACTCGCTCCCCCCCTCCCGTGCTCAGAAGCCTCTTTCTCTGATTAAGCCTCAAAGAGACTTTGCAGCTTAACTGTCCTCTTTGTGTGGGTGGCCATGCGGGGAGAAAAGATTTCTTTTTAAGGGATCCATTCCATGGCCTCCAGCATGGTCACACGATTGTGCAACCACCACCATCGAGCCCTAGATCTGTTTCGTCTTCTCCGGTTGAAGCTCTGCACCATGAAACACCAACTCCCCACTGGACTCTGGTGTTGAAAGAGTAGCTGCCTCTTTCTTGTGGCTGTGGTAGTTGTGGAGGAAAAGGACTCATGCGTTAAAAAATTGAGAGATTCTCCCTACAACCTGCCAGGTTGCTCAGACCTAGTGTTCACGTGGAGGAGGCGATGGCAGGCTTGAGAGTTGGTTCTCCTCCATCTCTTTCCCATACGAGTGAACCTTGGAAGGAACCGGGCCTGGGTTAGAAAAGTGCTAATCGTAGGCTGGTTGCTGCCTATCTCTGGTGGTGGAGGAAGCGCCCTGCCTGGCACCCAGGGCCAGGGCCAGCGCAGCAGCGCCAGAGGCAGCTTTGCTAACGGAAAGCCTGTTCTTGGTGTGGAGAATGTCTCAGGTGCTTACACAGAGCTCAGTTGTCGAGGGCTGGGATGCTGCAGGTGACATGCCCACTGGGTTGATCCCAAATTGTGGCCCATTCAGAGGTGTACATTAGACCCCTCGTGGGTCCCCCGTCTCTGTCCATCCAGTCAGCGATCCTTTGTCTGCCAGGGTGCCCTCCCCGAGTATTTGTCGGGTTATGACTCAGCACCAGTGTATTTCCTTTTTCCCTCAAACACTGGTTCGGATCATCCATTGTTCCAAGGCTGTCTGTGCTTTCCCCAAGTTGCCTGCCCCAAATCCTGCTTCAGCTTAGCAGAAAGTCTGCAGCGTGATTCACGAGCTGCCTCTTTGTGGTGTTACAGGAAGTGAAAATCTCCAGTCCGGATTACAGAGACTGCAACTCAGCAGAGGCCATGGAGGACTTCATGAAGAGAATTAACTGCTATGAAGCCAGCTATCAGCCCCTCGACCCTGACAAATATGACAGGTAGTTCTTCAGAGGGGATCCTCTCTGGATCACCTACTTTAGGGCTTTAAGTTCCCACAGTGCAGTTGCTCCTGGATACTTTCAGGAACTCTCCTAAAATACCTTTTGAACAAAATTCTTCACTGCATGTCCAGTGTAACTATTTCAGACACTTAACTATGTAGCCGTGCAGGAAGGAATATTCAGCCAGTGGCTGGGTCCCTTTGGTATTGCCTATTTTTCTTTTCCTTTTTTTTGCTTTTTTCTCCCACCTCTTCCACACACTCTGCTGTGTGAGTTACAGACTCACTGTTAGGTCACATAGAAGCAGACTGTGCCCTCTGAGAACATACAGCTGGATGGTGTGGTTCTCTTGGGGCCAATCTCTGCCCTTGGCCCCAACCGGGTGCTGCACTGATGGGGGCAGCGCGTTCTGACCTGCCGGTTGCCTTCCTCCGCAGGGACCTGTCCCTGATCAAGGTGATCGACGTGGGCCGGCGGTTCCTGGTGAACAGAGTTCAGGACCACATCCAGAGCCGAATTGTGTACTACCTGATGAACATCCACGTGCAGCCCCGCACCATCTACCTGTGTCGGCATGGAGAGAGCGAGCATAACCTCCAGGGGAAGATTGGAGGGGACTCAGGCCTGTCCATCAGGGGCAGGAAGGTAGGAAGGGAACAGGGGGAAAGGTACTGGAGCTGAAGAGTGGGGTGTGAGTGTGTGTGTGTGTGTGTCTGTGTGCCCCTGCATGTATATGTCTACATTTGTGTGTATGTGTGTGTGTGTGTGTGCATCTCTGTATGTATGTGTGTCTTCCTGTGTGTGTGCTTGTGTTTGTGTGTAAGGGAAGGGAGTGTCTCCAGGGCTGAAAGGAGGGTGTGTGGAAGGTGGCTCCTCAGTTGCTCTCTGTCTCCTCACCATCCTCATGACAGCCAAGTGACCATTCCCAGTGCAGGGAATGAGCCCTGCACTGCCTCTCCAGGGGGCACAGGAGCTGGGAGTCCAGTGTGTGTCCCTCTTGTTTATGCCCTCAGTTTGCCAACGCCCTGAGCAAATTTGTGGAGGAGCAGAACCTGAAGGACCTCAAGGTGTGGGCCAGCCAGCTGAAGAGCACCATCCAGACGGCTGAAGCCCTTCAGCTTCCCTATGAACAGTGGAAAGCGCTCAATGAAATCGACGCAGTGAGTTCTGGGTCTGGCGATGGCCATCGGGGGGCAGGAGAGAGAGGGCCAGGAAGCCTCTTCTTGCCGAATGTGCTGTAAACCCTGAGAGCCCTTTCAGACCACACGTGTGTGTTGACCAGCTCAAGGTGACTGGGTCTTTTCTCCAGGGTGTCTGTGAGGAGATGACTTACGAGGAGATCAAGGACACCTACCCTGAGGAGTACGCTCTGCGCGAGCAGGACAAGTACTACTACCGGTACCCCACTGGGGAGGTACGTGTGCTGGCGCTGCTGTCCCTTCTTCCTAGGGTCATTGTCCATTCGGTGAGCAATGGCCAGGTGTAGCTGCTGTGTGCTGTGCCTGGTGGAGTTCACCATGGTCCTTCAGGGGCTGAGTATTGGGCTGTTGATCAGCCACTGCCTCTCTCTTTCTCTTCAGGCTTCACCAGCAGTCACGACTCTGTTTCTTTTCTGGCCTCTGTGGGGGCTGCTGATCAGCCCTGCCTTTCTGATCAGACCTGGAGATAGACCCAGAGACACTGACTGACATAGAAACTGACCAATCAGAACCAAGTCTGGGTGAACTGTGAGGAGCCAGTGGCTGCCAAGGAGGCAGAGCTTTTAACGCTGACTGGCATAGAAATTGACCAATCAGAACCAAATTGGCCTGCAGGGGAGGACAGTTAGGGATGATCAGGCAGGCAGGCAGAGGCAGTTGGGGGCAATCAGGCAGGCAGGGGAGAGCAGATGGGGGCGAGATTAGGCCAGCAGGGGAGGGCCATTAGGGGCCAGATCAGGCCAGCAGAGGAGGAGAGTTGGAAGCAAGACCAGGCTTGCAGGGGAGGGCAGTTGGTGATGAGATCAGGGCAGGCAGGCAGAGGGGTCAGAAGCAATCAGGCAGGCAGGCAGAGGCAGTTGGGGACAAGATCAGGCTGGCAGGAGAGAGCGGTTAGGGAAGATCAGGCAGGTAGGCAGAGAGATTAGGGGCAATCAGGCAAGCATGCAAAGGGGTTAGGAGCAATCAGGCAGGCAGGCAGTGGCAGTTAGGGGCGATTAGGGAGTCAAACAGGTGAGCAGTTAGGAGCCAGCAGTCCCATTGTGAGAGGGATGTCCAACTGCCGGTTTAGGCCCAATCCCTGTAGGTAGGAAGGGTAGAGCAGTTGGGGGTGAAATCTCTGGAATCAGGATTAAACCAGCAGTCAGACATCCCCCAAGGGAGATGGAGAGGGTGCAGGCTGAGCTGAAGGAATCCCCCTCCCCCTTCCATTCACTAATTTCATGCACCGGGCCACTGGTTTTATATAAATGGGATTGTACAGTATGTGGGCTTCGGTATCTGGCTCCTGTCACTTAGTATACCATTTTCAAGGTTCATCTATGCTGCAGCGTGTGTCAGACTACACTCCTCCTGCAGAGGGAAAGGGAGGAAAGGAGTGGTGAGAGAGGGAGGGTGCAGGCCAGTGTCCTCAGGATCGCTTCTCCACCTCCTCAGCAACACACGGCGATTTCCCTTTCTGAGGGAGCATGCTGAGGTGGGTTCCCAGGGCCACAGGCAGCAGCACTAAGACCCGCCTGGGTGTTGACTGCTCAATCAATCGTATGTCTTCTAGTGCATAGTGAGGGGTGGCCAAGGCGGCCCAGATTTTGCCTTCCTCTGTGTGCAGCTCCAGCACAGCGCCTGTCCCTCTGTCCTTCCATCTTGCAGTCCTATCAGGACCTGGTCCAGCGCCTGGAGCCAGTGATCATGGAGCTGGAGCGGCAGGAGAATGTGCTGGTCATCTGCCACCAGGCTGTCCTGCGCTGCCTGCTGGCCTACTTCCTGGATAAGAGTGCAGGTGCCACATTCCTCAAGCGTCCTGGGGGTGGGGGGCTGGGGGCGGGTTGCCATCCTGAAAGGAGGAGGAGAAAATGACCTCTGAGCGTGGGGTAGCGGCAGACCTGGTCCTGCCTTCCCCGACCTGCGAGGTGCTATTGGGCCTCTGAGAGCCCTCAGGACAGCCCCTGGGAGCGCCATAGCAGGACGTGAGGCATGGTGGGCCAAAGGCTTCATTCACAGCCCCTGAAAGCTCTCATCTGCTTTCTCAGCAGCTTTGGGCAAGGGGGAGGGGCCAGCTCGTCTCTGCAGCCCCCCTCTAATGAATAAATAGCCCAGAAAACTCTGCCTGCAAAATTTAAGCCTGAGTCGGCCAGAGGTTCAGCTGAATCCTGGCACCCCCCCCTTTTTTTTTTTTTTTTTTTTTTTTAAACTGTAACTCATTCTGTGAGAGCGGGTTTGGGGTGTGTTCTGGTTTTGTTCTTTGGGCTAGGTGTCTTTCTAGGACTGTCCACTTTCAAGGAGGGCCTGTGTGAGGGGTGGGGCCGAGGAGAGGCCGCTGAGGGTCCGGCCTGGCCAGGCTCTCTCGGCGGGCCTGGGAATGTCCATCCCCAAGTCTCATGTCTGATCGTGGGGCCCTTTCTCATCTTTTCAGAGGAAATGCCTTACCTGCGATGCCCCCTTCACACCGTCCTGAAGCTGACGCCGGTCGCTTACGGTGAGTGTGGTGATGCAGGCCGTGCCGTGTGAGCCCTGCCGCCCTGGGATGGTGGCTCCCGGTGCCTGCGGGGCTGCAAGCGGCTCGTCCCCTTTAACCCTGAGCTGTTCTCTCCCCCGGCCAGGCTGCCGTGTAGAATCCATCTACCTGAATGTGGAGTCCGTGAACACACACCGGGAGAGGTCAGAGGTGAGTGGAAGCTTTAGCACCCCTTCCTGTCCTCCATCCCTAGGACTGTCGGGGCGGGACCCAAACGTGTGAGCTCTTGGGAAGTCCCTCGTCTTGTGTTGCCTGTAAATGCTGAAGGGAGCCTCTGTTCTCACGGAGAGAGTTTGTTGGAACCAGGAGGGCCTGGGTGACATCCTCCCCTCCCTTTTCTCAGCATCTGTGTGCTCCTGCCCTGTCTTTCTTGTGGCTCCTTGCCATCTTCTTTTTTTCTCTTTCCATGCTTTCTTCTCCCATTTCTCCTTGACCGATAAGCGAGTAGCAGCGAGGGAGACACATTCTGCTCTTTAGCTGTGGCCACAGCACACGTATGTTGCCTTTTCCTTTGAGGCAGCGAAAACTGCTTTCAGTTTCCAGGGCCACTAGTTAAAGTGGTCACCTCTTTGTGGGTAGGTGCAGAAATACCAGGAAAGGATAATAGTGAAAAGGGAAGTGGGATTGGAGAAACTTAGGACTTTTTAAAACATATATATATATATATATATATATATATATATATATATATATTATTTATTTATTTATTTTTTATTGATTTTTTTTACAGAGAAGAAGGGAGAGGGATAGAGAGCTAGAAACATTGATGAGAGAAACATCGATCAGCCGCCTCCTGCACACCCCTTACTGGGGATGTGCCTGCAACCAAGGTACCGTATTTTTCGGACCATAAGACACACCGGACCATAAGACGCACCAGTTTTTAGAGAAGGGAAATGAAGAAAAAAAGATTCTGAAACAAATAGTGTCCTAAAATATTTTATGTGCATTAAAACCCAACATCACAGTCATAAACACATGTAATCAACCCTGTAAAGTAAACAGCAGTATTTAGAACCATTTTAGAGCCGGGCAAGCACACAGAGACCACACAGAGCCGGGCAAGTAAAAAAAACTTTTTTTTAAAAGTATATGTGTAGGCTATATTTGGACCATAAGACGTAGGGACTTTTTCCCCCCACTTCTGGGGGGGAAAAAGTGCGTCTTATGGTCTGAAAAATACAGTACATACATGTCCTTGACCGGAATCGAACCTGGGACCTTTCAGTCTGCAGGCTGACGCTCTATTCACTGAGCCAAACCGGTTTTGGCTAAAACATATTTTTTATTTCAAGCGGAAGGGGGAGGAAAAGAGAGATAGAAACACAATGATTTTAGAATCACTGATCAGCTGCCTTCTGCATGCCCGACACTGGGGACTGAGCCTGCAACCTGGGCATGTGCCCTGATCAGGAATCCAATCATGACCTGTTGTTTCATAGGTTGACACTCAACCACTGAGCCATGCTGGCCGGGTGGAGAAACCTATATAATTTGGAAATTAGGGACAGGAGGGATGGTGGGTGGAAACTTTTCCAGGAGACAGCAGTGCCTGGTGGAATCTGATCGTCCCCTGGGAGGTCTGAGATTTGGTGTTCGACCTGGCGGGCTCTTCCCAGGGCAGAACCACTTTCTGCCCACGTGTGTGTCATGGAAGAAAGTTGGGATTTATTTTGTAATATGGTGCTTTGCCAGCATCAGTCCCACACTTTCCTGTATATCACGTATGACATTCCCGTCTGTACAGGGGACTTTCCTGTTCCCTGGGAGCTTGACCAAAAGATTCGGGCATTAAAACCCTGGCTTCCACCGGCAATTGCCTGGCTGGTTGACTGAATCGCAGGAGGCAGCATCCCCGGGCTCTGTGACCCCCTCTCTGGACCTCTGTGGGTGACAGACGCTGCATTCCTCTGGCTCTGTGCGGAGCAGCCTCCCAGCCCGACCCCCCAGCACCAGGTTCGGCTGCCCGGGGCTCTGATGGTCCCTGCACCCTGTGCGGAACCGGGGCAGGTCCTTGGTGGAGACCGACTCCAGCTCAGCCTCCCGGGTGACAAGCTCTAGCGACAGGCCATGGGGATCGCCCCAATCGCATTGTCACTTAGCCAATGGTTGGCTCTGGCTGGTAGTTTCTGCCTCCCTCCGGCCTCGGTCTCCTATTGGCTTTGGAACCACCTTTCCTGTCCTGAGCCGGGTGTAGTGTGGACGCAGGAGGTGTTCCGTGCGTGCTCTGCAGATCCTGGCTCTCGGTCAGTACCGGGGTGTCCAGCACCGACACCTTCCTCCTGCCCGCCCATCCTACCATCCTGTCCCCTTCCCAGAGCTCACTCCCAGGCCTCTCTCCCCTCACCCCTCCACGCCTCTCCTGGGAGGATGGCAGCAAGGTCCTTCTCTCCCACCTCTCTGTCCGCTGTAACTGAATGACTGTGAGAACTGGTCCAACTGTTCTCCCCTCGCCTGCTTGGTGAATGTTGAGCTTATCTGGGTGGGTGGATATCTTGGAATTATCTGGAAAAGGGCCTCAGGTGGAGACCAGCCTTTGTCGATTGGGAGATGCGAGACAGAATGGCACCCCGTGGTCCCAGGGCCATTCACCTTGGTCGGTCTTGTCCTGTCAGTAAACTCCAGAAGCAGAGAAATGTGTTTTGATTGGGTTTTATTTTTATTTTTTGGCTTATTTACCTCCCCTCTCCGTGTAACTGTCGCCTTCTCTCTTTTGTCTTTGTCTCGCTTAGGACGCAAAGAAGGGACCTAACCCACTCATGAGACGCAATAGTGTCACCCCACTAGCCAGCCCTGAGCCCACCAAAAAGCCTCGCATCAACAGCTTTGAGGAGCATGTGGCCTCTGCCTCCGCTTCCCTGCCCAACTGCCTGCCCACGGAGGTGCCCGCGCAGCTGCCTGGACAAGTGCGTGACCCCCCTTTTCCTTCCTGGCCGTCGTGTCTCCCATCCGGATGGGGAGATGCCCCTGGGTGCCACCACAGCCTCAGACCCACGCCTGCGTGTGGGCGGGGGAGGGGAAGAACACGAGATAGCGCCTGAAGTTTATAACATCCCGGAGGTCCCGTCAGGTCCGTCCTGACCATGGCTGTGAGCCTGCATAGCTGCTTTCTGAGGGGTTCCCTTCACTGGGCAGAGCCGGGCAGAGCAGGAGAAATGGTGGCGTCTGTGTCCTATTTACCTTGGTGGGTAGGTTTTGAAAGCGGAGTGGAAGGCAGCCCCTAGTTTGGAAGTCTCCATGCAGCTCTGGGCTGTTGGCTTCTGCATGGCCTGAGGACATCTTTTCTGTCCCAGGCCCGTGGCTGAGAATTTCTCCTTCCTTTCTCGCCGGGGCTCCCCATTGTGGAAAAACTGTAGTCAAAGGGGCCCTCGAGAATGTCCTCAGCTGGAGCCCGCATGTGGGACCCAGGGCAGCCCAACTCACAGGGCCGGATGGCCTGGAAACAGCCACTTTCTCACAGCAGTTGCCCCGGCAGGTAGTGGAAAAACCAAAAGCAAAAACCTACTAGACTTCACTTTATTCCCTGAGAAGATTAAACACTGAAAGATCTTCACTACTGGGAGAACAAATTAGGATTTGTTTTTAAGAAAACCACTTTTCCTTCAATGATGGCGAAGAATCTGTGAGACATAGAAATCTCTGGGCACAAATTTGGATCCCATCAAGGTCTTTCCCCACCTCCACCCACCAGGCCTAGCTCTTACAAAGAAGTTATGGCTAACTTTGGATTGGATTGGTCTAAGAGTTTGACACTAAGGCCTGTACTCTCCCTCATTTAAAGCCTGTGGTGTCTGGAAATGAGAGGTGGGGACAAGTGCTGTGCAGCCTCGGCCGGTCATTGAACTTCTTCAGGCCTGTTTTCTCATCTGTAGAATAGGGGAGTAGCGCCAACTGCCATAGCAGATCAAATGAGGGAATAAGTGCTGAGCATCAAGCACAGTGTCTGCCCCTGGCACTAACAGTAGGCCATTTCTCCCTGGCCTTCAATTTCCTTAGCTTTCCAAATGAGGGGGTAGAACTTGGAGATATCTAATTAATACTCCTTTTAGGTCTAAAATGAGAGGGTTTTTTGTTTTGTTTTGTTTTATGAAAACAACTGAAGTTCTACGTGGCATGTCTGTGACGTTGTTCTGGTGTAAACTGTGGGGTCATAGTTGGAAGTTTAGAGGCTCCTGTGACCGACACTGGTAGGGACTGGCCTGGGCTGGGTTTGATGGTGGGTGTGTGGGGCTGCACTGTCCCCGGTGATGGAGGATGCATAGCTGGGGCTCTCCCAACTTTGGCAGGACAGGCCTTCGGGGTTGCTGAGCTGAATCCTTGGGGAGTCTGGAAGTGGGGCCAGGCTGGGGGTCCCAGCAGAGGAATCCTGATTTCACACGACCTGGGCCTTGTACCCTGTCCCTCTACTGACCTCTCAACCTTTTCTCTCTGCAGCCTTTGCTAGGGAAAGCCTGTTTGTAAGTATTTTTCTCTGTATGGTTTTGCTGCTAGCACCTCTTTCTCCTTGCTTGCCCGTTTGGCCTCCTGTCTGTTGAAATGTTGAGGTAAACGATGGTTTTTATGAAATACGAAGGAGGCAAGATGGCCACGAGAGGAGGGAGAGGAGGGATTCATGAATCTAGAGCACAAGACACAAAAGTGGTTACGGCCCAGCTGTTTTCTTGTCACTGCCACAGCTGGCTCCTCACTCCCTCTTGACGCCCTGAGTTACTGTTAATGCTAAATCTCATTTGTTTCCCTTGGCGTCAGATTTTGGTGGTGAGCTAAGTTTTGTGTCTGCTGCTGCTATTTGAAATTCTGTGTCTCCCCCTAGGAGAGCCTTTCCTTTCTAGGGGAACGTTTACCCAGAGCCCAATCTGCAAAACAGAGAAAGACCCTTCAGCCTCTCCTAACAGGGACTATCCCCCCTCCCCGTCCCACCCCTTGGCGCTTAGATTAGGTGGCACCACCTGTAGTGCTTGCACATATCTCCTGCCTTTGATCCTTAAAATAACCCCAGGGTGTCTGAGGGCAGTTACTATCCCCGTTTACCAGACGAGGTCTGACTAGAAACTGTTGTTTTGGATCAGGTTGTCCTGTATGGGAACCTGCTCAGCCTTAATAGTCATGTTCAGGATTGAGGCAGCTTTCGAGTCAGACCCATTTGGTTTCCCCTTTCCTGCAGCCAGAGCTCTCTGCAGAAAATTCTGGTTCATTGTTTCCAGGGCTCTGGTGGTCCCCAACTACAGAAGGAACCGAGGCCTTTCTATTGCAATTTCAGAATAGCCACCAAGAAAGATCACCCTCTCCAACCCCTCAGGTCACACCTACCCGTGATCCTTTTTGCTGATTAGGGTACCTCCCCCAGTGCATGCCAAAGCCAAAGGCCTTTAGGAGGTCAGCCTGATAAGCTTAAGAGCCTGGCTTGCTCTGGGAAAACAGGAGTTGTTTGGCGCTTAGATTAGGTGGCACCACCTGTAGTGCTTATCTCCTGCCTTTGATCCTTAAAATAACCCCAGGATGTCCGAGGGCAGTTAGGTCAGGCAGTGAGTGGCTGGACCAGGACTTGTGAGGCCGGCTGCTTTCTCCCGGCTGGTTTCTGGGAACAGTTACCATACTGTTCCCCTGCCCTGCCTGGGCACCTGACATTTACCACTGCCTGGAGCTGTTTGATCTTTTTAAGCTCTCGCGGCCTCTCCCACGCAGCTGTTTCCCCGAGGCTGAGGTGTGTTTACTTAATGTGGGCGTGTCCATGAAATGCAGGCTTTAGGAGTCTCCCCATGTATTTGTGCATTTCCTGTTACATGGCCTGGAGCTGCCAGGAAAGAGATCTTTCTGCTGGAGGGGGCCATTTGGGCACTTCCCCTACCTACTAAGCTTGAACGTGCCCATCTCTAAGGCTAACGGTACCTTAGGCTAGACTCCCTCCGGTCCAGCAAACAAGTGTTCTCCGGACCCTTCACATCTGCGTTCCCTCTGGGATTTCCGCGCTCAGCCCTGCCGGGGAGCACAAGCCCTTGTCTGGGGCTGCAGCTCCCAAAATGCATTGTTAGTCACACTGAGCCCGGTTCGAACTTGGCCCTACTACCTCTGCCTTTGGAACGCTGGGCAAGGTGGTGCCATTCTAGGACTCCAACCTCCTCGCCTATGAAATGGAGATAGGGACATAGCGAGGTGTTTTGATAATGTGGCTCTGTAAGAGGCCACAGTGCCCTGTGGCCGGTAGTTATGGTGGGAGAGAGGGAGCCTTGTGCCTTGGTGGGGATGCCCAGCGCTCTGGCTTGCACTCCACTCTGCATTTTGGTGCCCCCTGTTCCCTCTGCACAGGCCAGTGGCATTTCTTCTCATGAGCAGTAGGAGCTCCAAGAGACCCGGGGAGTGGGGGAGCCCTTGGGATCTTAAGGGTTGTGGCTGGAGGGTGCCAGTGAGTGTGGTTTCCCAATAAGGCGAGCATGACAGCCCAGCCGGTGTGGTGTCCTCCGTCTAGTCCTGGGGGCTGTCCCCTGTGCTTGGGGCCAGCTATTCACCACGCAGCCCGGACTTTGAAATTTCAAATGCACACTAACAGCAAAACGCTACTAAAGATGTTGTGTTTTTTTCTTTTTTGTTTTTCTTTTCCAACATGTTTCTTCCTTTGCCCCCACTATGCTTGAAAGACGAACTGTCTGTCACATTTTCTCAAAGTTTTCTCCTTATTAACCTTGGAAAGGTAAATGGCTCGGTGCATGCCCCTCTCGGTCCCCTCCGCATCTCTCTGAGTCATGGCATCTCTGCCTGGCAGGGCGCCCCGGTCTGTGTGGAGACTGGCCATTGTGAAGTGTGTGACTCATACACCCCATGCCAGAGAACTCATGATTTTTTAAAGAGCAGCACCATTGTCCCGAGGACCCTCTCTCACTTCCTCCTTCCCTTCCATGTGTCCTGAGCCAGGGACGCCATGAGTGAATGGTTTGACAATGCCTGTGCCTGCGGCCCCTGGTGTCCTTGCCTCATCACCACCATTTGTGGGCGCTCGGAGTCAGGCGTGACATGTGTGAGGGCGGGCTGGAGGCAGCTGGGCAGCATCTGGCTCAGACCCCACACGTTGGCTGGGTTCTCTCTGGTTTCGAGGCTACAGAGTCTTCCCCAACAGACACCCACTTCACTGACACTGTCTGATGTGCTGTGGTTGGAGGTCGGGTCGCCTGGGCTCCTGAGTCCGGCTGAGAGCAGGCTCAGATCTGGCCTTCAGTGCTCCCAGCCGGGCTTCTCTTCTGCAGGGATTCCTGCACCAGGGCCCTCGGTTCCGCAGCGGAGGGGAGTGGGCCCAGGTGGTCCTTGCATATTTGTCTCTCTGGTTCCACTCTGTACCTCTGCCCTATAAGACAATCTTGGTGTAAACACTCAGGATGGGAGAGGACGCTTTTTAAAAAGTGCCTCCCTGTTGAGTGGGTAAATTAGGGAGGTTAAAGAGATCGCTGCTGTGCAATGGCAGCCATCACCTGTCTCCAGCTGATAGAAAAACATTTTTAAAAAATATATTTTTGCCTTAACCGGCTTGACTCAGTGGGTAGAGTGTCAGCCTTCGGACTCAAGGGTCCCAGGTTCGATTCCGGTAAAGGGCATGTACCTTGGTTGCAGGCACATCCCCAGTGGAGGGTGTTCAGGAAGCAACTGATTGGTGTTTCTTTCTCATCAATGTTTCTAACTCTCTATCCCTCTCCCTTCCTCTCTGTAAAAAATCAATAAAATATGTTTAAAAAATAAAAAATATACATTTTTTATTGATTTTTTTTTTTTTTTTTTTTACAGAGAGGAAGGGAGAGCAATTAAGAGCTAGAAACTTTGATCAGCTGCCTCCTGCACACCCCCTATTGAGGATATGCCTGCAACCAAGGTACATGCCCTTGATCGGAATTGAACCTGGGACCCTTGAGTCCGCAGGCTGACGCTCTATCCACTGAGCCAAACCGGTCAGGGCTAAAAAAACATTTTTAGGGGGTTTTAGTACTGGCCAGCTTCTCACAGGTGAGGCTTCTGGCTGGGATTACTTTTATGAGAACAGGAAGAGAGCTTTAGTGACAGTGCCCACGTCCAGCCTGCTTGCAGCACCTGTGCTCCAGCTGCCAAGCTCGTGTTCCTAGGATCTGGATCCAGGGGCTGAGGGGTGCGGCTACTTGAGCCGGGTAGGGAGAGAGTCCTAATGCTGTCTAGAGGGCCTCCTGGAGCATCTTCTGCCTGGCGTGGCCAACAAGACTTCCCGGGGCAGGGGCAGCCCCGCAGCTCCCGAGGGCTGTGAGCTGAGGAGGGTGCTGGCCCCATTGCTCCCCGGGACAGCTCTAACCTACAGAGCTGCCTACTGCCCCTCCTCTCCTTCTCCTGCCACGAGGCCCTTCGCCCATGCGGCCCTGGCCTTAACCTCCACATGTTCCTGGGGCAGCTCCCTGGGTAACTGCCACCAGTTTGGTCACTGACGCTCTCCGGGGTTGTGTTTTTGTCTGGGGGAGGGAGGTTGAAGTCTCAGTTGCATGGCTTCAGTCTTTTGCTTTGGAAACGTAGTCGACAGTAATAACAATTCCCCTTCCCCACCTTTTTTCTCCTGAAAACAGAACATGAATGGCTCCCAGAGCAGCGTCGACTCCTCCCAGACGCACTGAGGCAGACCTGTCGGTTCCATTCCATGTCCATCCCCGCAGCTTAGGTAGGGCTCTTCCCGCCACCTGAGGCCGACCGTCCCAACGACTTCTCCCAGAAAGGGCTGGGCGACGTGGAAGAGGGGTCTACTGGCCAAAGGGAACCTCTGCTCCCAGCGGCACCTGGGCGGCCGAGACCTCAGCACACCTTTCCCGTGTGTGGACAGAATCCATGTTTTTGCGGCCACCCCCATCCCATGCTCTTCCCACTGTCCAGGCTGTGGCCTCACGGACCCTCCACAAGACTTGGTGAGGATGATGAGCCGTGGAGGAGGTGAGGGAAGGCCCTGAGGAGAGGACAGTGGGCACCTCATGCTGTTTTGTCTCATGTCTGTGACCTTGGTCTGAAATGTTCCCTGCTGGGAAGGTGACACTGGTCTCAGAATCCTAAGATTAAAGGGGCCTACGTCCCAGTTGCCGACGGTTCAGGGATGTAGAAAACGTTCATCAGGCTTGTTGGTGCATCTTTGTCTGGGATGTTGACCTGCGAAGACAAGCTGCTGGGGTGGAGCCGGCCAGAGAGCCCGTCTGGAGGTACAGACAGAAGTCCCTGAGCTGGACTTGCTCAGCAGTGACCCTCTCCGTGTCCACACACCGTCCCCAGTCTGTGCTTAGCCGCTGAAGATGTTAGACAGTGTGGCGGTGTTGGCAAGAGGAAATGGCACCGGGCCCTCCCCCTGGATCAGAGGCACCTGAGTGAGACGTGGCTTCTGTGGCCTGCTTTGCTTTCAGATTTTTTTTCTGGCAGAACATGTGAAAATCACAGCTTCCCTTCAGGAACTTAGATGTCTGGGTTTTGTGCCTCTGGAAGAATGTGTGGAGTCAGGCATTCCCATGAGAGGGGGAGCACAGAGGAACCCCGGTAAAATGGCTGTGGAGCAAGAGCTCAGAACATTGCAAGACAGCCCCTGGGAGACCGCATGGAGAAGAGCGAGGATCCAGCCTTCAGGACATTCATCACTTCTTATAGTTCCTTGTGGGGACAGTGGCCCCAGCCAGGCCCCACTCTGGCCGCTCCTCCAAGAGGCTGTGTTCATGGCCGCCTGCAGGAGTCCGCTCGTTCCCGCACATTTTCACGGAGCATCTGCTGTTTGCCTGGCATGGTGTTGGGATTCCTCGGGAAATGTTCTCTCTTGCTTTAGTGGCACCTGTGACATTTTTTTTTTTTGGGGAGGGGGGGGCATTTTGAGCAGGAATTGGGGAACATGTGATTCCAAATACCTGTGGTTTCTATCTCCTTGTTGCCTCCAAGTACAGGGTGTCCTGAGGTCCAGAAGAAACGGTATGGAGGCAGCTTTGGTCCAAACAACCCTTTAAGGATCTTTCTAAAAGCTGGTGCCAAAGGTCGTGTTCCTTTCCTGCCCTCTGCTTTTGAGCCTGACCTCCTCACCCCGCTTAGCCTATGAGCTAGCTGAGAGTAGGGGTGGGCAGGCTGAGACAGCAGGAGTGGGAAGTGGAGAGAACAGCTGTTTTTTACTTGAGAGGAGCTTGAGAAGTGGGATGTGCTTCAGATACCATACAATAAAATGTGAGATTTTCACACCAATTCACTCAACCCCTGTCCCTTACTCGGCAGTCTGCCTGAGAGGATGTGTGTGTAACATTCTGTGCCACGGAAGATGGGTTGTTTTTCCTCTTTCTCACTATCTCGTGTCTACTTGACGCAAGTGTGTGCTTGTAGGGTGGCGTGTATTTAGGCAGAGGGGCCTGTGGTTCTGCTCTTGAGATAGACTTCATCGTGTCCCACTTTCTGGCATTCTCTTCCTGGCTGTCAGAGCCAGCTCTGGTTTTTGACTCTCCTAGCTGATTTGAGTGGGGCTGTGTGAAGGTGCACACCCCTCACGTCGGACAGCCTGAAGTAGGTACAGACATAAATGAGGCTTTGCCTCCCACAAACGTAGTTGTGAGGGCCTGGTTGGGGCAGAGGCATGACTATGGATAGGGAGGGAGCCTTGGAGGAGCAGAATGCTGCTGAGGAAACCTCTGAGGAGGCGTTGGATGGAGGGTGTATGGGAGCTGCAGGCATGAAGCATCTGCTATTTCATTGCCTCTCTCTCCCTGTTCCCCCACAAAAATTTCTGGGACCAATTTTTTTTTTTTTTTTTAACTTTGCATATTTGTTTTTGGGTAAGTGTGCCCCTCTCCTTTTTCCTGTCCTGAGAGCATGGACAAAATTCTTGGTTTTGCGGGGAGGAGAAAAACTGTTTGAACCACACCAATGATGATTTCGTTTGTAATACTTGAAATTTATTTTTTTATTATTTTGATAGCAAATGTGCTATTTATTTATTTAATGTGTATAAGGGAGCTTGAAAATAGAAAACCTTTTACATTGGGTCTATTGTTTGTCGGTTGGTTTGGGGCCTTTTATGTGCGACTTAAGACTTCTCTGCATTCTGTATATTTGTCTGAATTAATTACCTGGGAGGAAGCTGTGCCCGCTTTCACACAGCGGCTGCCTTTCAGAAATTTGTATATTTTGCAGTTGCCAGAACAATAAAATACCCAATTGAAATACACTGTAATGCACTTCTGGTCTTTTTTTTGGGGGGGGGAAGAAAAATCTTTTTCCTTTAAAATAAAATATATATATATGTGTGTGTATATATATATATATATATATATATATATATATATATATATATGAGGGAGAGAGATAGAAACATCAATGCTGAGAGAAAATCATTGATCGGCTGCCTCCTGCACATCCCACACTGGGGACTAAGCCTGCAACCCAAGCATGTGCCCTTTACCAGAATTGAACCCAGGATTCTTCACTGCACAGACCAGCGCTCTATCCACTGAGCTAAACCAGCTAGGGCAAGAAGAATCTTTAATTGACACTTTTGGTCAGTACACCTAGTTTCTACCCCTCAGTTCTTGACCTCCCTCTGCACTGCTTCCTTAAAACAGGACGTGCAGATACTGACCGCCTAGTGTCAGCTGTTGGGAAACAAGCTGTGTCAACTTTAAAATAACAGTAAGAGACTTGATTTCTTACAACAGTTCAGGTTTATAGGAAAGAGCAACTAGTACGGAGTTCCCATGTGCCGTCCCCCTGTCCCTGTACAAAGTCTCCCCTATTATTAACGTATTTCGTTAACGTGGTGCACCTGTTACGGTTGATGAGCCTATATCGATACCTGGTTGTTTATTAGAATCCACAGTTTACACTAGGGTTCGCCCTGTGTTGTACAGCTCTATGGGTTTTGACAAATCCATACTGATATGTATCCACCATTATGGTATACAGTATGCCCATGGGTTTTTATTCCCTTCATTCCAACCCCTGCCTCCCCAGCCCCTTTCAAACAGCAGCAGTTCTTACACAGCAGTGGGGCTGGTCTGGACCTGCATTCCTCACCCCAGGCGCTTCCCTCCTATAGGGCAGCATTGCTGATTGGAGTCTCCCGTCAGATTGATTCTCATCTCACTTTGCCCTGGGCTCGTGTTCCACTTCCTCACCTGCACGGTTAAGAATATCTTAACTTGGAATTCTTTAATAAATGGTACCACTATAAGAATTGGTCAACTATTTGAGAAGAAAAAGCTAATGAGATCATAGCATTGTACCATCTATCTTAAAATTTTTATATTGATTTGAAAGAGAGGAGAGAAACATCAATTTGTTGTTCCACTTATTTATGCATTCATTGGTTGCTTCTTGTATGTGCCCTGATGGGGGATTAAACCCACAACCTTGGGGTACCAGGACGATGTTCTAACCAACTGATTTACCTGGCCAGGGTTAGGCCTATATGTTTTTCTTTGTTTGTTTGTTTGTTTGTTTGTTTTTTAAATCAGACTATTAAAAAGGAGAAAAAATATTGGTTAATGTCTAAATTTTTGATGGTCAGTGATCAAGATTAAAAGTAATAAAATAAACTACAGCCCTAGCCTATAGTCATCAAAAATCAAGCAAAAGGGGAAAAAAATACTAAAAAACATTTGCAACAAATTTGACACCACCACCACCATTCATTATCCTAAAATATATATTGGAGACCCATCTGAAGCGATAAGATTCTTCTAGATACCAGGACAAAGGCTTTTATTTAATCCTTATTACAAACTTTCTCAATGTTTCAAAGAATAGAGATGAAGCAGTGAAAGTTTGGTGGAGTTAAGTCATAAAGATTGTTTCCTAAGCTTCATTTTGAGCTCACATTTTTCAACACAATGTGAGTTGGTTCAGATCTAGTTTTTCTCAAAGTTTGAGCAGCTCTTCAGTTAATGTATTGATGGCCCAGGTAATCTATAAAGACAACTACAGGTTCTGACATCCTCCTAAGATGATACTGAAAGAATCTCTGTAAAGACAACAGAAGCACCTCAAAGCATGGTACTCTGGCCACTTAGGACTAAAGAGAACACTTTGCCCACTCTGAGAGAAGTCTGGATCTATTTAATAGTGTGGGTGTCGGAGGTAGAAGCCGCATATCCTTGACACCCACAGAGATCATTAGTCACATTGGATTCCACGTATAGGATAAAATGATTAGGGGCAGGCTGGGTTGGTGGACTGTTAGAAAGAAACCTAGTGGTGGTGGGGATGGGGTGGAGGAGTGTCTTCCATCTGTAAAATATTTTATAACATTGCATTGTGTCCACTTTTCTTTGAGGACTAAACTAAAGCAGCAGGCCTCAGAAGAACTCTGTCTTGGATATATAGGATTAACTGAATGAAAGATGTCTCACTGGGATATGCTGACAAATACACTTGGTGAACAAAGGGGCCGAAGAGGTACCCAAGGCCTGGGTGGGACCAGGTTCTTGTCCATTAAGTCCTGGCTGTGTAGTAGCATCAGCGTCGGGGAGAGGAGAGACGCCAGCCAGGTGTGATGAGTCAATGAAACAATCCTAGGTTCTTGGCGATGGACGGTTCACACTTCACCTCTCTGTCCCACCACATTCCAAATGTGTAGACTAAAATAAGTTACTTCATATTTTTTAACTTGTTCCCTATTCATAAAATGGGGAAACCCAAACTGTATTTTTAATTACAAGATGTATCATCAATTTATTTGCTTTGTACTAAACAAGACAAACCACGCGCACATCAAATGCAAGACCAAATTCAATTTTAGATGTGTTGAATGTAGACAAAAATCCTTCTTAGGAGTAAAGAAACACCACAATTACTTTTTCAGGCTTTTTGTCAGGACTAAATCTTACAAAGGAAGAGCCCCTGACAGTTTCTGGCACAGAGTAAGCACTGAAATGGTACCGTGTTTCCCCGAAAATAAGACATCCTCCGAAAATAAGACCTAGCGCATGGAAAGATAAGACATCCCCTGAAAATAAGACCTAGCGCAACTTTGGGAGAAAAAATTAATATAAGACACTGTCTTATTTTCGGGGAAACAGGGTAGTTATTAATCTAATAATGTGTGCCACGTGCTTTAAATGCCAAGTAGGTAATGTTATCCCTACTTTGCAGGATCCTGCTGGATTTTTCTGTCATAACTGGGGGAAAGCCCCAGGTCTGTCAGACTGTCAGTCACACAGCCTGAGAGCCACAGAGCTGGGCAAGGCCCTGCTGGATGGATCATTAACCACAGCAATTGGACTGAGTCACATGCTAATTAGCAAAATGTTTTTTGTGTTCCTGAGGCTACAGAGGATCTCTGCAACCAAATGAATAAAAGTCTCTTTACCAGATATCCAGTATCTAAGGTTCTGTGTTTTCCCCTTCTCATCTCTTCCAAGTGAGGCCTGGAGACCAGCATCTTGGGAAACCTTATTCCCAGGTTACATGGAGACTTTCCCATGGGTACACTTGCACAGACAGTTTTAGAGGAATAGGTTTCCAGAGCCTCAGCTGCTACATTCACCCTTTCTATAACAGTCTGGGAAGTTTGCTTATATGCACAGTAAATAGTTTCTCTGCTTTGCAAACAGGAGGCAATGCCTTCACCCACCCCAAAGTGCTTACTAAAGTGCATTACCCCCAGAGTAGAAACACCTCTAAGACATCCAAATACAAAGTGAAGCTCCTTTAATGATTAATCCAGGCACTATGCCCCAGGGATTTCTTCCCTCCCGCTATCTTTTGGTTAAAGGTTGGAATGTTTTGAATTTAGAACAAGGGAAGCAGTATAACTTAGTGCTGCAGTTTCCAAATATTTTGATCTCAAAACTCTTTTGCACTCTACTTTTTCCTCCCCTAAGCCAAATAAGAACCTAAAAAAAAGTTTTTTTTAATTGCAGTATAATTAACACATAACATTGTATTGATTTCAGATGCACAATGTGATTACTTGATATTTGTATATAAGAATTTTACACTTTTAAAAATGATTAAGGACTCTAAAGAGCCCTTAGTTATGTGGGCTAGATTATCCATGTTTAGTGTGTTTGAAATGAAAATTGCAAAGCCCTTGACATTACTTAATATATTTTATGCACAATAACTACTTTTGTTGAAAATATTTAGTGAGAATAGCATTTATCTTATCTAATAAAGAGGGAATATGCTAATTGACTCTCATGCTGTCACAAAAGATGGCGGCGCCCACAGCCAATAAGGAAGGAATATGCTAATTGACTGACCCACCCTCAAAGATGGCAGCACTCACAGCCACAAGATGGTGGCACCCAGTCACCTCAGCCCTGCTGGGGTGGTAGGCACACGGCAAGGCCAGGTACCTGCCCTTGGAGTCCCCCAGTCCCCTCAGCCCCCCAGCTGCCCAAGGCCAGCCCAAGGCACAGGCAAGCCTTGGATGGTGGCTGCCCAGCCGTCCAGGGCTACCCGATGCTCAAGTAACCAGGGCTGCCCGAGGCTTGCACTGCTGGCAGTGGCAGCAGCAGAGGTGTGATGGGGTGTCACCTTCCTCTGATCGCCTGGTCGCCTCTGGCCCCTGAGGGCTCCTGGACTGTGAGGGGGGCAGGCTGGGCTGAGGAACCCCCTTCCAGAGCATGAATTTTTATGCACCGGGCACCTAGTATTTTTTATAAGTCTCTCTAGTGGCAGATTCTCTTATCTGATTCTGTATTCAACCTATTGTGAAATTAGTGCTTGGGTGAAAGTATTTGAAAAAAATTCAGCCTCACACAGATATGTAGTTGAAAAGGGGGGAGTATGTTAATATCTTTTCCAGATAATTGTGAATATTTTTCTCTGATTCTATACCCAAACTGAATAAATTATAGTTTCATAAAGAATAGTTGTGGTGTCAAATCTGAAGCTATATCAATAAACTTTTTGTACTTTGTTAGATTAAAATTAATTTTGTCAATCTTGCTCTTTGAATTGATTTTTTAAAAAGTAACATTTTATTTTAGTATATATTTTATTGAGAGGAAGGAAGAGAGAGAGATAGAATCATTGATTGGCTCCCCAATGCATGGCCCCTACTGGAGATCAAGCCTCCAACTTGGGCATGTGCCCTTGACCAGAATCAAAAACAAGCTGAAACAGTTTGGCTCAGTGGATAGAGCGTTGGTCTGCAGACTGAAAGATTCCAGGTTAGATTCCGGTCAAGGGCATGTACCTGGATTGTGGACACATCCCCAGTAGGGGGTGTACAGGAGGCAGGTGATCAATGTTTCTCTCTCATCAATGTTTCTAACTCTCCCTCTCCCTTTCTCTCTATAAAAAACAAAATAAAACAAACAAACAAAAACCCTTCAGTCCACAGGCCAATGCTCTATCCACTGAGCCAAACCAGCTAGGGCTTGAATTGATTTTTTTTTTTTTTTTAAACCAACATTGGTTATTTGGAAAGTATTAGCTCACTGGAGTTATTGTAACCAGATAATCAGTGGGTCCATGCTGCCTGTACAGCTTGAGACAATTAAGCAGAGACAAAGTTGAATCATATATGAGCATTTATTCCAATACTGCCGGCAGTATGGGAGAGCAGCAGGTCACTCACAGAAATCTGCTCTGCAGCCCCGCATAAGCCAGATGCTTATATTTGGTAGGACAAGGATTACATGAGGAAGTAGGGCTTACAGGCTTGGGGAAGTAGACTGGGGTGGGACTCCATCATTTGGGCAACAAGGTGGTTAATATTTCCATGAAAATAGGCAGGTCTTAAATGAGAATGGAACACATTCCAAGACTGATGCCCAGGTCCTCAGGGCATACAACTTCCAGCCAAGTTAGAATGTCTTTAATCAGAATAAGGCAATCATTGTTAATAGAGCATGATGATTATTACATAACCATAGCTATTCCCTCAATATTCTATTTCTGCCACAAACATTATGAAGATCATCCAAATGTTGACAGATTTCATAATGCAATATTTAAAAATTACATTGATTAATATCCCTTTGATCTCATCAGAAAATTCTTGAAATATTGGAAAGCTATAAATTTTATAGTGATAACCACGTTTTCTACAATTCTAATTTTTCAAAAAATATGTTTTTTATTAATTTTAAAGAGAGAGAGGAAGGGAGAGACAGAGAGAGAGGGATAGAAACAGTGATGAGACAGAAACATCAGTTGGCTGCCTACTGCACTGTTGTGGCAGAATGCACAGAAGAATGATTAGCCAGCACTCTGAGGGAGGAAAGTTTAACCTTTACTTTTCAGATCTGCTAGTCCAGGGGAATTCTGGATCCAAAGCCCGAACTGAACTTGTAGGGAGATTCTGACTTATATATCTCCTCCTGTGGTGGGTTCCTGAGGGTCTCTGCAGCTCAGACCAAGTCAGACTTGGCAGAGCCTTGGGGGCATGCTCTGCAGCTCTGCCCAAGTCAATCAGAGGGGAAGTAAGACAACAGCTTTAGCCAGATACTATCCCCACAACCAGGAATAATCACAGAATTATCACATGAGACCAAGTCATCTGACCAGTTCCCTTATATTGACCAATGGCTAGAAATAGCAGAGCTTAAGCTGCTTTGGATCCAATTTGGTGTATATAAGGAAAAAGGATAGGCCCCTCAGAAGGAGACTAAGTCTCCTATTCTGCAGGAACCCCCTGAGGAAGCCCTGCCAGTTCTACCACCTCCAGATGTGCCACAAGTGGTACCCTTTGCCTAGTCAGGGAGGCTCCTTCCATCTCCCCTCAACTGGACTCTCCAGAGCCAATTGGACGATGTTCATGCTCAGCTGATCAGGGACCTAAAACACTCACAGCTTTCCAGATGCCTGTCTGATAAATGCAGGGTCCTCATATAATCCGAGAAAACAGGACCCCACACGAGGGGGGATTAGTCTTTTTTAAAAAAATTTAATAAATCTTGATTGTTCAGATTATTACAGTTGTTCCTCTTCTCCCCTCCTCCCCAATAGCTCCCTTCCACCTGGTTCTCATCCCACCCTCTTCCTTTACCTCCCCCATTGTCCTTATCCATAGGTGTACAATTTTTGTCCAGTCTCTTTCCACACCCCCCACACCCTTTTCCCCCCTAGAGTTGTCAGTCCACTCCCAATATATGCCCCTGATTCTACTATATTCACCAGTTTGTTCTGTTCATCAGATTTTTAATTCACTTGATTTTTTAGATTCACTTGTTGATAGATATGTATAATAGTAGTTTATATTTTACCTTTTTCTTCTTTCTCTTATTAGAGAATACCTTTCAGCATTTCATATAATACTGGTTTGGTGGTGATGAACTCCTTTAGCTTTTTCTTATCTGTGAAGCTCTTTTGTTGACCTTCTATTCTGAATATTAGCTTGGCTGGGTAGAGTACTCTTGGTTATAGGTTCTTGCTATTCATCATTTTGACTATTTCTTGCCACTCCCATCTGGCCTGCATGGTTTCTGTTGAGAAATCAGCTGATAATTGTATGGGTGCTCCCTGTTTTTCTCTTGCTGCTTTTAATATTCCCTCTTTGTCTTTTGCTCTTGGCATTTTAATTATGATGTGTCTTGGTGTGGTCCTCTTTGAATTCCTTTTGTTTGGGGTTCTGTGCACTTCTTGGACTTGTAAGTCTATTTCTTTCACCAGGTGGGGGAAGTTTTCAGTTATTATTTCTTCAAATAGGTTTTTAGTATCTTGCTCTCTCTTCTTCTGTCATCCCCATAATTCTGGTGTTGGTATGCTTGAAGTTGTCTCAGAGGCTACTTATATTATCTGCCAGTCAGTCCAGTCTCTCCCCCAATGAATCTAGATTCCCAAGTTCTCGCCCAGAACTGGGGTTCAGTGCAGTTGGAGTTGGGTTTCAGTGCAGTCCGGAAATTTTGTCTCCTTCCTGCTAGGGAAATCCAGTGGCACAGTCAACAGTCTGTCCTCTGTGTGCATTCACATGTGCACCTCTGGAGCTCTGCCTTTCCCTGCTCCCCCGAATTTTGCCTTACAGCCCAGATTCCTCCAGTATGAGCATGAGTCCCCAGGGTCTGGCCCTGAACTGGGGTTCAGTGCAGTTGGAGCTGGGGTTCAGGGCAATCCAAAGCTTTTATCTCCTTCCCTCTAGAGAACACCAGCCAGGCACTCAGCTGCCCCCTCCTCTCCAACTCTGTCCTCTCTGCACTCGCGCACCCATGTCTCCCTACCTCAGGTTTTTACAGCTCCTCTGGTTTTCCTTGTGGTTTTCTCTTTCCTTCTAGTTATAGAATTTCCAGTTAGCCAGCTTTCCTGCGGTTCTCAATGATGACCGTTTTGACTTTTAGTTGTATTTTTGAAATTGTTGTGCGAGGCTGCAGTTTAGGTATTTACCTATGCTGCCATCTTGGTTTCTCGAGGAGGGATTAGTCTTTTACTACCAGCCTTTCACTACTACCGATCTCTTAAATTGGAAGCATCACATTACTGCTTATTCTGAACAGCCTCAAGCCATGTTTGACTTTCTGGAGTCAATTTTTCAGACCCATAAGCCCACCTGAGTCAACTGCAAGTAAATCCTTTTTACACTTTTTAACATCGAGCAGCACATGAGAATAATAAAAGAAGCTTGGAAATGATCAGACAGATGGATCAGGGAGGCTCTCCCAGATATGAAACCCAGAGGGGACCCAAATTCGGAGGACGGAAGGGCCAGATTAGAGAGATATAGACTGGCCTTCCTCTAGGGGCTCAAGGCTGGGGCCAAGAAGCCCACTAACATGGCCAAGCCCTCTGAGGTTTTCCAGAGACCTGATGAGAGACTTTTATGAGAGACTCTTTGAAGCATATCGAGTTTACACTCACTTTGACCCAGAGGACTCAGAGAATCAAATTATGGTCAATGCAGCCTTCGTTAGTCAGGCTCAGCCAGACATAAGGAGAAAGCTATAGAAGCTTGAAGGATTTTCTAGAAAGAATGCAACCGAACTACTAGAAATAACAAACAATGTTTTCATTAATCGGGACAACGAGGCTAAAAAGTAGGCTGAGGAGAAACTACAAAGGAAAGTGACTCTGATTGCTGTGGCTGTTACAGAAACTAGCTCTCAGGAAAGGAAAGGGAGACATCAAGGAGTCGAGTCAGGAAAAGGAAGGACGAATCTTAATCCGGACCAGTGTGCCTATTATAAAGAATTAGGACACTGGAAGAATGAATGTCTGAGCCGCCAGAAGAAGCAGGGAAGGTCATCCAAATCACCCAGCTGCTATCAGCCAGAGCTGCCTGAGGCAGACCTCATTGGACTGGTGGCAACGAACTCAGACTAGGACAGACTGGGCTCTTTACAAATGGGCCCCTATGAGCCCATGGTTGAAATGAAAATCGGGGGCCAGACTGTGTACTTTATGGTTAATACAGGGGCAGAGCACTCGTTAATTACTCAGAAAGTAGCTCCCTTCTCAGGATGGGAAGTCGCCATTATCAAAGCTAGTAGGGGACCATTCTGCTGTCCCCACCAATGTCAGTTAGACAGCCACCAGGTGGTTCATGAATTCCTGTACTTGGCAGATTGCCCAGTCCCTCTAATGGGCAGAGACCTTTTAGCCAAATGGGAGCAGAAATCACCTTTGCCCCAGACAGCTCAGCACAACTGCGCTTAGGTGAGGGGACCTCGCCAATGATCCTGTCTTTAGCAGTGCCCAGGGTGGAAGAATGGAGACTTCATACCTCCCAGTCAAAGGACTCTCCATTAGAGCCTGAACTAGAGAAGGAATTCCCACTGGTCTGGGCAGAAGGAAATCCCCTGGGCCTTGCTAAGAACCAAGCTCCAGTGCTAATTGACTTGAAGCCTGAGACACAGCCTGTGAAACTTTACCAGTATCCAATCCCCAGGAACGCACACCCCGGTATCAGGGCCACCTAGAACGACTGCTTCCATGAGGCCTTCGTAAGCAGTGTCAGTCTCCATAGCACACCCCTCTCTTATCTGTCAAGAAGGCTGGGACCAATGATTACAGCCTGGTAAAGACCTGTGGGCTGTTCATGAGGCCGTTAGAATCCTGCATTTGGCGCTGCTGAATCCATACACCCTTCTGGGACTCATTCCATCAGAAGCGGAATGGTTTACCTGTCTATATCTAAAAAAGTGCCCTTTTCTGCCTTTGTCTGGCACCCTCCAGTCAACCCCTGTTTGCCTTTGAGTGGAAAAACCCAACCACAGGGACTAAGGAACATTTCACCTGGACCAGACTGGCACAGGGTTCAAGAACTTCTCAACTCTTCTTAGTGCAGCAGATTTGTCTAAATTTCCAGGACAGGATGTGGGGTGCGTTCTACTACAATATGTATATGACCTCTTACCAGATAACTCCATGAAAACTCAGTGTTGGGAAGGAACAAGAACCCTTTAAGACTCTTAACTGAGTCTCCTGCCGAGCGCTGTGCACTGGAGGCTGAGAAGCGAGAGCTGTGGAGGGCGGCCAGGATGAAGTCCCTGGAGCAGGACGCTCTCGGGGCACAGATGGTTCTCATCAAGTCCCAGGATTGCCAGAGCAAGCAAGGGCCCCAGGACCAGCTGGCCGAGGCCCTCTTGCCCATGCCCACCCCATCACCCACCCCCCTGGAAGACCTTGGCCCCCTGACCAGCAGCTCCCCGGGATGTCTGTCCCCAGACTTTGCTGAGGAGCTGGGATGCCTGGAGCTGTCTCCCAGCCCTGGCCTGCAGGAGGAGGACAGAGAGGTGAC